GCGCAAAGCAGGGCAGGGCGACCCTCAGGCCGGGGGGTGTGCATGGGAGGGGCTACGCGTCAATGCGTGCGCGCGGCGCAGGCCCCCAATAAACAACCCCACTGTGCAAAACCCAAAACTCCGCGACAATTTCATTCATCATATACGGTCAGAGCGAGCGCGGGATGACGCAAGGAGGATTTAGCTGCCCTTCGGCCGGATCAGCACGAGGTGCGCCCACCTCAGCTGGCCCCGTGGTGCGCTCGGAGGGACGCGAGCTGGGTGGCGAGCTCCATTGATCGGAGCGCGACGCAGCGAGGCAGACAGCATGCTGGGATGACGAGTGTCGGTGTTGGGCGAGTGGCTGAATCACAATGAGGACGGTCCCGGTCAGAAGGCGCTTAACAGTGGATATATACAAGCCGATACAGCATTCGCTGCGTGCTGTGCGCACATGAGCACATGGGAGCAGCTCAGAACGGCGTGCACACCCAGGTGCCTTGGACAACCTGATCAGCTCGGCTTATGAGTCTGGGGGTTGGCAATTGTGCTGGCCGCACCCACTCCCTTCATGACTGGCAGGTGCTCGTCACATACATCCATTGTTGCAGCTCTTAATCTGGGGCCAGTAGCCAGCAGCAGGTCACTTCATCCCATGGTTTATGTGGCATTACACAGGAGAAATTCACACCTGCATGGCGACAAGAGTGAGGGGTCCCAAATACACAGCAGCCGATGACATAAAAGTCTGAGAGCAAGAGACAAAGACGCCGCATACACATCACCGAGCCACCGGCGCCGCTGCAACCTCACGGAACAGCCACCACATTGCTGCATTGCGAAGGCAGCACAGCCAACCAAAGAGCCCGCGCCGCTGGCGCCGTGACGACGGGCTTTCATTCCTGCATCGCGTCCGCGCCGCCAGCGGCACTGGGCGCGCCGCGGCCCCTGCAGATCGAGGGGGGCGGGCGGGCGGAGCAAAGTTTGTGTTGCAGCAACACAACCGGGAGCCGCTCTCGTGTCAACCATCAGACGCGACTTTGATTCAGTGCGAGCGGCTAAATCAACACCATCATCCCCACGACTTCAGCCCCAACAGTGCAAGCTGCGCTGCGGCTGCATCGCAGTCCACTGAGGTCTGTGCCCACCCCAAACGTCCTTGTTCAGCCCATCGCCCCACCTGACAACGCTCCTCGGCCGGTTTGGGCCAAAGCCGCCGCCGCCACCACCGCCGCCGCCCCTGCTGCCGTACCCGCCGCCGCCGCCACCCGCGCCGTTGTCCGCGACCGTGCTCACGCTGCGAGACAAGGTGCAGGCAACCTTGCGTCATTTCCAGTCCATTCACAGCATGAAACGGCCGCTGGTGACACCCCCTCCAACTTAGCGGGACTCGCAATTTTGCCGTTGTCAATTGCTGAACCGCACCTCCCAGCGCCCAACCACCACGCCTCCCCAGGCCAGCATCCCCAGCACCCTCTGCACTCCCCTCCCGGCGCCTTCCCCCACAACGCGCCACGCCCACCGAGCCCCCCCCCTTATTCAAACACAAACACACGCTCTCTCTCACACACAAAAACACACAACGCAGGCACGTGCACACACGTTGTCACTCACATACACACACTCACACACACACACACACACGCTCTCACTTGATACCGCTGGAAAGCTTGGCGATCGTCCCCGGCGGCACCTGGGTCTCCACCAGCTCAATGCTCAGTCGCTTCCCGTCCAGGCAAACGTTGTGGAACTTTTGGTAAGCCTTCAAGGCGTCCGGCGCGCTGACGTACACGACGTGCGCCGTGCCCTTGGAGCGGCCGCTCTTGTCGTAGTGCACGCCAGCCTCCTTGATGGGCCCCGCTGACTGGAACAGCTCCTGGTGTGTGTGTGTGTGTGTGTGTGTGTGTGTGTGTGTGTGTGTGTGTGTTTGTGCGTGTGTTAGTTGGCGGGTCGGAGTGTGGGGGTGAGTGGCAGGGCGTGTGCAGGCGATGTGGGGTGAGACGCAATATGGAAAGATGCGCCTGAAGGTGTGCGAAAACAAGGAATGGTCCATACGCCTCCATGCCTCTCACAAGTAGAGCACAGCGCTGCATGCACCGCGTTCGCTGTCGAGAATGTTTGGGTAATCTGCAATGGCATGCGGCGGCATGCAGCCTGGCCCATGCGCACTCACCGTGACGTCGCCGTCTGTCACGTTGTGGTCGAGGTTAGACACAAAGCTGCCGGGCGCACGCGCAGCGGAGGGGGCATGCGGGCGGGGGTGCGGCGTCAACGGCGCCGGCCGGGTGCGCCAGGCGAGGCAGGAGGGCCGCTGAGCGCCACCGCCGGCAGCGGGGCCAGCCGGGCGGCGGGGCAAGGGGCCGCTGGATGGGCGCAACAGGTGCAGACGTCGCCGGACGGCAGCGCGGCGCTGATGCCGCCCGCCAGCCAGCCAGAGGCGCCGAGCCGCAGCCCTGCGCGAGCCCCCACGATCCGCATCCGCTCGCTGCTCGACCGTGAGCCCACTCACAGCTTGTTCTTGATCACATTGCCCCTGCTGCCGCCGCCGCCACCGCCGCCGCCAGCCGCGGCGTACTCTCCTGCGGGCTGGTTGGGGTCATACAAGTCGTGCCGCCACTTGCCCGCCGGCGGCGCGTCCAGCGC